AAAGTTAAACTACCTTGTTGTGACTCGTCCAGACATTACTTTTCCAGTAAGTGTTGTTAGCCAATTCATGTCCTCACCTACAGTCAAACACTGGGCAGCTTTGGAACAGATTTTATGTTACTTGAAAGGAGCCCCGGGTCTTGGGATATTATATAGCAATCACGGTCATACTCGTGTTGAGTGTTTTGCAGATGCTGACTATGCTGGATCCAAAATTGATAGGAGATCGACTAGGCTATTGTGTCTTTATTGGAGGGAACCTAGTGTCATGGAGGAGTAGGAAGCAAAGTGTTGTATCTCGATCCAGTGCAGAATCTGAGTATAGAGCTATGTCACAGTCTACATGTGAGATTATGTGGATATATCATCTTCTAACTGAAATTGGGTTGGAATATCATACACCAGCAAAACTTTGGTGTGATAATCAAGTTGCCTTGCATATTGCCTCAAATCAGGTGTATCATGAAAGAACTAAACTGTTAGTACCCTTTTAGTCTACCAACAATTTTATGCATGGAAATTAAATCAGTAGCTATTAATTATGTTTTTTCTGTTTTCTCTGTAATAGGTTCTGTAACAGTGTTTTCCTGTAGCAGTTGTTTCTCTGTAGTAGTAGTTATTAGCAGTAAGGAGGTTATTTTTCCACTTTCTCATTTCAGTAGTAGTGGGAAGTTATTTCCTTGTTATTAGGTGGGTGGTTAATCACCAATGTTGTATTTAAGTTATTTGAATTCAATGGACAAGGGGAGCAGAAAATTAGTCAAGTTTTTGAGTACTTCAAACTCAAGAGATCGCAGGTTCTCTCTTAACGAACCAGCACCATAGGTAAGAAAAAAGAAAACTTCAGAATTTATCTTGCAGCGTCCCATAACTAGATCCATAATCGGGAACCATAACAACTTGGTATCAGAGCCGGAAGTTATGGGAGACCAAATTCAACATCAACTAGCACAATTAGTGAATCTGTTCCAAGAAGAACGTGCAGCCAATTTAGCCAGACATGAAGCAACAAATGCTCGCTTGGATGCACTCACACAGGATTTAGCAAATTCTAAGGTCGATTCTGATTCAACTAAACATATCAGTCAAAATCGTGGTTGGAAGGGTAAAAATAGAGTGGCAGGAGGGTCAGGATCAGAAGCAGGAGGAAGTTTCATCATTCCTCGACATACAAAACTGGATTTCCCACGATTTAATGGCCAAGAGGACCCTTTGGGATGGTTGAACAGATGTGAACACTTCTTTCGACACCAACAAACTCTTGAAGAAGAAAAAGTTGGACTTGCTTCTTTTCATTTGGAGGGCAATGCACAACTTTGGTTTCTTCAATTAGAGTCAGATCTGCCTCAACTGTCTTGGGCTGACTTCAAACGTCATTGTAACCTTCGTTTTGGGCCACCAATCAGAAGTCAGAAGTTGGGAGAATTGGCTAAGTTACGTCAGATCGGGTCTGTGGCAGATTACCAAGAAACATTTGAGCAGTTAATTTCGCGGGCTGGTACACTTACGCAGTCACAAAAAATTGAACTTTATATCAGCGGTCTTACTGATTATATAGCAATTGAGGTTGAGTTGCATAATCCTCCAGATTTGGCTACGGCGATGAGTTTATCCCGACTTTATGAACGCAAGGAACAACCCATTTGTTCGCAATTGTTAGATGCTTGCAAATCAAAGACAGCAGATTTCTCACCTCAACAACATGTTAGATTTGTGAAGAAACTGACCAGATCTGAAATGGAGGAAAGACGACTTAAGGGACTTTGTTTCAACTGTGATGAACCATTCACTCGAGGTCATCAGTGCAAGAAGTTATTCTGGATTGATTTCATTAACGATGAAGAAGAATTACTTTCCACACTTGGCGCTTGAGGACAAGCGCGATTTGAAGAAGGGGAGTAATGTTAGTACCCTTTTAGTCTACCAACAATTTTATGCATGGAAATTAAATCAGTAGCTATTAATTATGTTTTTCTGTTTTCTCTGTAATAGGTTCTGTAACAGTGTTTTCCTGTAGCAGTTGTTTTCTCTGTAGTAGTAGTTATTAGCAGTTATTAGCAGTAAGGAGGTTATTTTTCCACTTTCTCATTTCAGTAGTAGTGGGAAGTTATTTCCTTGTTATTAGGTGGGCGGTTATCCACCAGTGGTGTATTTAAAGTTAGTTGAATTCAATGGAAAGATAAGCAGAAAATTAGTCAAGTAAACACATTGAGGTTGACTGTCATTTTATTCGTGAGAAGATTCAGGAAAACTTGATTTCCACGGGCTACGTGAAGACAGGAGAGCAAGTAGCTGATTTGCTCACAAAGGCGTTGAATGGAACTCGAGTTGATTATCTTTGTAACAAGCTGGGCATGATCAACATATATGCTCCAGCTTGAGGGGGAGTGTTATAGAATGTATATAGACTTAATCTTAGTAATATACATAGCTATATATAGGCAACAGATTTATAGGGATCACTGCAGATCTGTAGGAATCACTCTTTATTTCTTTCCTTAGTTAGCACCTTATGTATTGTATTTATTCACTGTTCACCTACTGGAATAAGATAAGATCTTCCATTCAATTACACAAACAAACATCACGAGTAAATGCTTGAAAAAATTCAAAGAGCAAATTCATAAGGTTCCAATTTCCAATTTAGGGCATAGAACTTAAGGTGGAACTGACCTTCATTTGCTTTGAGAATACATTTGAGTGGAAGCAAATATGCCACGAGGAGACATACATACGTCCATGATACAAAAATGACCTCTCAAGTGCACAAGAATAACTATGCTCAACAACCTGCAATTAGTGGTTCCTCTAGCAATCAAGCTGAATAGTCTAGTTGTCCAACTTAGTATCCTTGCAAAACTAAGAGACCTCTATAAAACCAAATCAGCACTTGCCTCATCAGCAGGGAGATCAAAAATTGTTTGCAGTGGCCCAGGTTTCTGATGAACTACAGTAGGCCCTTCTTTATCCAAAGCAATCCTTCTACGAGTATTAGCACAGCCATTCAAACCCCTAAGACACCAGAAACGGAGAGGGAAAGAACATTATCCACCAGCTCCCAGAAATATTATCTTTTGGTGAGATAGATACGACAGAACTATAACAATATATCATCAGTTATTTTGCTGATGGATAAATAATATTCCAGCAATCGAAAGAGTAATTTGTACTAAATAAGTCTCCTGCAACTCTCCATTGAAAGCGAGTAATGTTCAAATTGAACATGAAAAGCATTATCTAATTATTGCAAAACAAAGAAATTAGATTACATTTCATCATCCACTTGCCAACTAGTGAAATAAAGGATCAGCAAAATCATACATGCTCTTTCTTCCCCCCTTCCCCTTTTCTCACAGAAGTGTTTCACTGTTTGGTTAATTTCCCCCCCTCTTCTTACTGATAATTTGTTACTCTGTGTTATTTTTTTTTAGTACCAACCTGTATGTTATCATTATGTGTTATCACACCCAGATTTGGCTTTTCTACGTTTGTAGTAACTGGCATCAAACCCTCAAATTCCTCCGTGATTGCATGTACCTGTCCCAAGTAAGTTGACATACTTGATTCTTGTTTCTTTATTTTTTTCATTCGAGATATCACGTCATAAAAACGAGATGTGTCATAAGTATATTAAGTGCAAGCCTTTTCACAGACTTAATAGCATGTATGGAATGGAAGATACAAGGGTATTATCTTGGAATCAGCAGGTCGTCACTAGAGACTATATAATTGAGCGTCAAAACTTCTCCCGCGGTGCTTTGGTCTTTTCATCTATCTCACTTCTCAATAGCCTTTTGGGTCAAGTGATATTGAACACCTTGACCTTTGCACCACAACTCAATCGCGGAAACCCATGCTAAATAGTTTGAACTTCCCATTAATGATTCAGAAGTAATCTTAAGGCTTGAAGTTCTGATTTTCGTATTTTTGGAGCTAAATACATCAAATCAAGACATCTTGTGAAATCTTAGTCGCAACCGGATCTAGAAAAAAACAGTTTCAGTTGCCGGAAAATTAGATCTAACCACAGGAAAGAGGTTGAAATCATTAAAAAAAGTATATGGGTATACACAGATATTTAGGCTTGACTAGAGTAATACTTTCTCTCTCATGGCTAAATTAGCATATGTGCGTTTTTTTCCGATCCATGGATGTTGTCCTCCCCCGGCCTCTTTGTCAGCACAGTAATTCATGAGTTTGGCGGAACTCGTAATGAGGTTGATCACTATTAGGGGTGGCAATTGGGCGGGTCATAATGGGTTAAGACAACAATCGGGTCAAAACTCAACCCAACCCAAATTTGTTTGGGTCAAAACGAGTTAGGCAATGAGTTATATAGCGAGTCAAGACTCAACCCAATCCAATTTTTACTAAGTTTAATTGTTTAATTTGTTCTTTTAAACCATTTTAGTACCTAATAATTTTTTTTTTCTTTATTATGGCTATATATCACACACTAAATTGAAATAAAAGTTTTTTAAAAATATTTTGACAAGATTTCTCATGAGCCAATTCGGGTTACATATCAACCCAATTTTTAATGGGTTGAGCTAATGAATGGGCGGGTTACTTAAACGGGTTGGATTTGATTTTGCCACCCCTAATCACTATGTGTTTTATCGACATCCTGCTCCAAATCTATGTATTTATTTGGTAGTCTATGTTGACAATATCACTATTACTTGCAATTCAAGATGGAATCACTAATTTAAGCAACAACTCGTTCAGCATATCCGAACCAAATACCTTGGCAGACTAAAGTATTTTCTAGGTATTAAAGTTGCTCAATCCAGATCAAGTATTGTTATTTTGCAACACAAGTATGCCTTAGACATTCTTGAGGAGATAGGAATGATGGGATGTAAACTCATTGACACTCTTATAGATCCAAATGCTCAACTCCTACTAGGACGGGGGAGCCACTTAGTGATCCTAGAAGATATAGGTGATTGATTGATATGTTGAAATATCTCCAAGTACCTAGACCTAACATTTCTTTCCTGTGAGTATTGTAAGTCAGTTTATGGATTCTCCCCCTGAAATTCATTGGGATGCAGTTGTCTGCATTCTGCGATATATAAAGTCAACACTAGGTAAGGGACTACTCTTCGAGGATTGAGGCTATGAGCAGATCGTGGGATATACATATGTTCATCGAGTAGGATCACCTTCTGATAAACATTCTACATCCGACTATTGTGTTTTAGTAGAAGGTAATTTGGTGTCTCAGAAGACCAAAGAATAGAGTGTGGTTGCTCGATCTAGTGTGCGAGTAGAATATCGAGGAATGTAACAACTTGCGAGCTAATTTGAATTAAATAGTTGCTTAGAGAACTAAAATTTGGACAGATAGAACTTGTGTGTGATAACCAAGCACCCCTTCATATCGCATCAAATCCAGTATTTTATGAGAGGACTAAGCACATTGAGATTGACAGTCACTTTTTCATAGAAAAGAAGCTCCCTGGAGATATTGTTACAAAATTTGTGAAGTCAAGTGATCATCTTGCAGATATTTTCATTAAGTCCCTCAGTAATCCTCGTATTAAGTACTTCTGTAACAAGCTCGGTACATATGATGCGTATGCACTAGCTTGACAGATTATAACCTAAGTTGCTCAGACTCTTCACTTTTGGTGCCACATCCATGTCGACACGATATGCGTGTGGGTGTGGGATTCGTTTCCAATTTGGTCAACCGATTTTGGGTACTTTGACCAAAATCGAGGGGAAAGTTTTAATGATTTCAGTAATCAATACAAAAGCTAAGGTGAAAATTAAACAAAACGGAATACCTTTTATATAGAAATTACTAAGTCACTTTTTTTCCTTTAATCTCCTTTCTAGGATTCTCCTCAAGTTCTCCACATAATATCTCATAATTTAGGTTTTATCACTCTATTTTTAGATATTTTAATTATTTTTAAGTGAATCCCCGCACCCGTATCCATACATGGATCCATATCCCCAAATCTTAAAAATTAGATCATGAAGGATCTGACTTTTAGATCCGCACCCGTATCAAACACCCACACACAAGTCTGAGCAACTTAGATATAACAATGTAGATGCACAATTCAATAATATTTTCTCCTATGTTTCTCATAGCTTAACCATACAAGCTCTATAGAACATAACTTACGGAATTGAAAATATCCTCTTAGAAACATTCAAGTCATTTCAGAATTGTGACATTCTATGTTGCTCGGACTCTTCAAAAATGTCGACGGGTGCGTGTCGGACAAGTCACATGCCTTATAATAGCTCCTACTAAACTAGGGTCATACCCAAGATTCCTTCAGGCATAACTCAGCAAAACGCAAAACTTCAATGCAGGATCATTTGTAGCATTCCCAACCATTAGGAGACTTTACAAGGGGAAAAGGAAAAGGGAAGAAAAGTTTCACTCAACTACTATGTAACATTACACATAAACATCTTTGTAAGTAATCCAATCACAAAATTCCGTATAGCACATAAATCCAACATCTTTGTAAGATTCCTTAAAGCATATATCTTTGTAAGATACATTACTTACTCCTTCAGAAGGGTGATAGCTTTGTAAGGATTGCAAGGTTATTCGGAGTGAAGATATTACTATCCAACATAGGCTTTTGGTGATGGACTTGGAGATAAGAAGGATAGAAGGAAGAAACTTTTTATGATCAACTGAGGATTAGATGGGGTGACTTGACTCCTGCGCTTTCAGAGAAAGCAGGTCCAGAGATACCAGGAGTATCAAGAGGGATCTTTGGTGATGGAATGGAGGAGTTCAAGGGAAAGAAGGTTGCCTATATGAAGTGGTTGGATGAGGATGCTTAGGGATATATATAAGACGACGAAGACAAAAGAGAAGTTGGCAGTCAAGGATGCTAAGACGACAACTTTTGAACGCTTATACATCGAGCTAGGGGATAAAGGTGGGGATCGGAGATTGTATAGGCTCGTGAAAGCGAGAGAGAAAAGCTTGTGACCTTGGATCAAGTGAAGTGCAGGAAGGATGAGGAAGAGAAGGTGTTGGCAGACGAAACCTCCATTAAGCAAAAGTGGCAAGCTTACTTCCACGAACTCTAAAACGAAAAAAGGGGACAGAGACATTGTGTTGGGTGAATTGGTGCACTCTAAAAGTCTTCGGGGTTTTGGGTACTGTAGGTGTTTTAGCGTTGAGGGAGAAAATGATCCTTAATGTATATGTAATGCTTTATTTTGGTCCTTAATATACAACAAAGGTGTTCATTTTGGTCCTTAATATATTTCACTTGATTGAAATGACGACCCTTAATGAATGAAAAAAGGTGTTCACTTTGGTCCTTTACCCTAAACCTAATACATTTATCAAAAAAAGTGTTAAATTTTACTAGACTAGACTTTACGTGGCTAACAAAATTTACCATTGTCTTTTTTGTTGTTAGCTCCAAAGAAAGAACATAAAATCTAACACCAATTTCTCCAACAAAATTTATGATTTTCTTTTTTCTAAAATATTACTCCACTAACCTAATACCCATTTCAGCTTTAAGCAAGAGAATAACAAATTTTGTTGAGAAAGTAAAGAAAATGGTGTTAGATTTCATGGATTTTTTTGATGGAGCCAACAAAGAAGACAACAATGACGGATTTTGTTAGCCATGTGGGGTCCACAGTTAAATTTAACATGTTATTTTGATAAATCTATTAAGTTTAGGGTAAATGACCAAAATGAACACCTTTTGTTATACATTAAGGATCATTTCAATCCAATGAAATATATTAAGGACTAAATGATCACATTTATTATACATTAAGGACCATTTCAATTAAGTGAAATACAATAAAGCATTACCCATACTTTAAGGACCATTTTGGTCATTTTCTCTGGTTGAGGAGGTGAGACGTGCTATGAGTAGGATGAGCAGGGGAAGAGTGACCGGACCCGATAAGATTTCGATGGAATGTTGGAAGAGCACTAATAAGGCAAATATGGAGTGGTTGACTAGGTTATTTAATGCTATTTTTAAGACAACTAAAATGGCCGGCGAATGGAGGTGGAGTCAATGGTTCCATTGGACAAGAACAAGGGTGCTATCCAAAACTATAATAGTTACAGGGTATCAAAACCACACTATGAATGTCTGGGAGTGAGTGATGGAGATGAAGGTGAGGAGAGGGTGTCTATTTTAGAGAATCAATTCGGATTCATGTCAGGCGATCGACTACTGAAGCAATCTATCTTGTGCGGAGGCTGGCGGAGAAATATAGGGACAAAAAGAAGGACCTACATATGGTGTTCCTTGATCTTGAGAAGGCTTATGACAAAGTTCTGAGGGATGTCCTCTAGAGGTGTCCCGATGATTTATATTAGGCAATAACATACATGCATGATGGAGCCAAAACTCGGGTTAGAATGGTGGGAGGAGACTAGGAGCACTTCCCTGTTGAGATGGGGCTACATTAGGGATCAGTGTTGAGCCCTTTTCTATTTGCCTTGGTGATGGCTGAGCTGACGCGGTCTATTTAGGAGGAGATTCCATGGTGTATGTTATTTGCGCATGACATAGTACGGATTGATGAGACATAGAACAGATTTAATGATAGGTTTGAGGTTTGGAGACAAACTCTGAAGTCTAAAGGGTTCAAATTGAGTAGGACCAAAACAAAATATTTGGAGTGCAAATTCAGTCTTTTGTTGGATGAAGCAGGCGTGGAAGTGAGGCTTGCCTCTCAGACTATTCCCAAGATAGAAAGCTTCAAATATCTTGGTCTGTCATCCAGAGCAGCACATGAACGATGATGTCACACATCACACTGGGGCAGCATAGATGAAATGGAGGCTTACCTTTAGAGTATTGTGTGATAAGAAGGTACCACCTAAACTTAAAAGCAAGTTATACAGAGTGGTGATTAGACCGTCCTTGTTCTAATGGGTGGAGTATTGGCCGGTCGAAAACTTACATGTTCAAAAGATGCATGTTACGGAGATAAGGATGTTAAGATGGATGTATGGGAGTACTAAGATTGACAAGATTAGGAATGACGTTATTTGGGAAAAGGTGGGAGTGGCCTTTGTGGCAGACAAAATGAGGGAAACGAGATTGAGATGGTTTGGGATTGTGCAGAGGAGGTGTACCGACGCCCCAATGAGGAGATGCAAGAGGTTGGATGTAGGGGGCACGCGGACAGGTAGGGGTAGGTTGAAAAAAGTATTTGAGAGAGGTGATTAGACAGGACATGGTGCAACTTCATATTACCGAGGATATGACTTTAGATAGGAAGGAGTGGATGTTGCGTATTAAGGTAAAATGCTAGTAGGGGTAGAGTGTTGCCTTGCCTTGTGAAGGTTTATGGCATGTCATAGGACTAGTCGTGCAACTATAGTTGTCTTGTTATTGATTTCCAATTATCACATTATTTTGTTGTTATAGTTCTCTTGTAGACTTTACATTGCTTTTCTTTTTAGCTGTTATGCTTTCTGTATTGATTTCTTCTTCTTGTACTTGAGTTTGATACACTTGAGCCGAGGGTTTATCTAAAACAGCCTCTCTACCTACACGAGGTAGTAGTAAGGTCTGCATACACTTACCCTCCCCAGACCCCACTTTGTCGAATTTCACTGGGTATGTTGATGATGATTGTAAAGATAACGGGAATCTAAATAGAAAAGAAGGCTAAGGTCGAGATAACATCTGGGCCTAGCTCAACCCCAAAAGTTAGTTCATGAGGGGAAGATTGTCTAAGTCCATACAAGGAGATCACCAGTGCACTCCCCAACCAATGTGGAACTTTTATCCACTCTAACATCCCCTTCACGCTCAAGCCCAACTGAAGCGTGGATTGGGAGCCCAAACAGGGGATGAACCTAACTTTGATACTATGTAAAGATAGGGCACCTGGGCCTAACTCAACCCTAAAAACTAGCTTATGAGGGGAGGATTGTCGAAGTCCATACAAGGAGACCACCAGTCCATTCCCCAACTAATGTGAGACTTTTATCCACTCTAACAATGACGACGACATAAATCTAAACATCAGCTCATCTTGATATAGTATGTACATTTGAGAGGCAGAGAATGCATGGACCAAGTTCATCAAAAAAAGAGAATGCATGAACCAAGAAAGGGAGCCTAATAAACTAAAATGAATATTATCAGGTTAAGCATTTTAGTAAATAGCATTTGTCCCATGCAGAATGGTTGACATTCAAACAAGAAGAAATGTAATGCCCCAAAAAGAAGACAACGCCCTACCTTGATGAATTGATATTGAGTTTTACTGTTTTAATGTGAAGACAAACCTGGAAAAGAAACGGGCATGATTTAGTTTCATAAGGATAGAACTTTACAGAATCAAGCAAAACCATGATGCATTATTCCAAAAGAAAAAGGAAAACAAGAAGGTGAAATAATCAATAGATACCTGCCCTGATGTGTTGTTCAATGTATGCCAAACAGCACCTGTCTGACCTTCATTTTCAACAGGTACAGTCACTGAACCAAGAACAGAACTTTTCCAAATTATGTCCCAATCATATATTGTCACATTTATCTGCCGAACAATCAAGCACAATTGAGAAATATTCTAAAGAAAATGACCAAGAACACCAAAATTCATGTAGCCACAAGTTAATGTAATAAATGACTTAGAGCACTACCTCCAAAGAGTATTACAGAAACACAATATAGCACTTGTGCTTCATTTGACAAGATCTGTTGAATAGCTTACCTCTGCTGGCAGCTCATCAACAGAAAAGTTGAACTCCTCCCCCCACATAGGATTTCTTGAGCCAGGGATCATTGAACTACAACAGGTACAAGAGTACACATAGTTAACCAGATGCAACAATACATGCTGAATATATGCTTTTGTATAAGAACTTAACCATTCCTCATCACCCCAAGTGTACGCTTGCATACACACGCACACACACATATCTCAAGCCTAGTCAACATAACTGTCTCTCCCTCTCCCTCTCCCTCTCCCCACCCCCAACCCCCAGCTGGAGCCCTCTGCTTCTGTTGATGAATTTAAAGACAAATCTTAGATTGTACCCATTGTAAACAAATCAACTGACTGAGAAGAGAACGTATGCTCTCAGCTGATCAGATAAACTGTGACTGACTTTCAACTGTTACTACAGAGTACATGAAGTAAAACACCATCTTAAAACCAAACCAACCACCAATGTAAGATATTTTCCATTTTCTCAAAACATAAAGTTCAAAACAACTTTATCTCATTTTAACAATATTTTCATAGTCATCATTTTATATAAAAAAAAAAAACTGGAAGATGATGAAAAACAGAAGAAGATCATCGTACCAGCAAGAAGCAAAACTAGCACTAACTTTCCAAAAAAAGGAAAGGACTAAGATGTACTCCCTCCATTCCATATTAATTCAAATTTTGAGGTGTTTCACACCCTTTTAAGAAAAGTAGATTAAGACATAAATTGAACATTGTTTTTCATTTTTACCCTTATTAATTATTGTCAAATTTATTGAAGTCATCACATTGAAAATCCAAATGAAGGGTAAAATTGGAAGAATATTTTAAAAATAGTCTTGAAGATTTTGAAGATTGAACAATTAAGTTATTTGAAAAATGGAAAATGCCTCAAAAATTCAATTAATATGAAATGGAGGAAGTAAAATCTTATGTGCGTCCTCCTTGCTCATAAGTCAATCTAGATATCTATCAGTCATTTTCTTTGACATGTTAGGTCCATCATTTGTCATGAACGTTACATATAGTTTTTAGGAATTTGGCGTTCTCATTAAAATTTGAACAATTGTATTGAGGGAGTTTTAATATCATATTTACTATGGCACAACTCGTGACACATATTATTCGTTTTAGACAAAGAGGTCTCACGTTCAATCTCCTCGAGGTTCTCAAGTTGATTTTCAAGTTAAAATAAATTCATAAATGCTTATTTAAGTGAACTTTAATAGCAACTGGAAGGGACATTCAATTTACAAATATGTAATTGCACAAGAAAATCATCACACTTCCTCTTCAACAATCAACTAGGTTTCAGTCGCATCAACTAGGAGACATCTATTTATATGACTGGCCATCCAAGATAACAGGATAACAAAAATAGATAAGCGTCACCTAAATCTTTTTTGTGCGCCACAAGTGATGATTGCATATGGATCTGATGTGCCATTCAAATTAGCAGCAATAAGATTTTTAGCAGCTAACAGTTCAACCTGGAATATCGGAGAAACACTAGTCAAGTATGAATTCCTAAAATACCTATTACATGCATTTAAAATCCCAACACATGAGTCAATTTAATGAATTACATTGGTAAGTAATAGCAATAGAGTACAATACACCGCAACTAGAGATAAGAATGATAGCATATTGCATGAGCACCAAGTTCAGAAATATACCTTGATTATATATGCAGAATTAGTTGGAGGGTCTCCTTTTAACTGGCCTATCTACAAAATAAGTGCACAACTACATGTCAAACAAGTCAAAATAACTCAATGTAAATGGATAATAAGTTTATAACCACACGTTCCAAGAGAAGAATGGAAACAAAAGCCCCCCAAAAAAAGAAGTCAACAACCTAAACAAATGACTTCTAAATCTTATCCAGTTAAAAAAACCCATCAAGGTTTATAATTCTTAAAGTCAAATCAAAAGGAATTTCTTTTCTAGAAACTTCCTTAAAGCAAGAGATTCCTGTTAACCAGGCCTCCTGATAAACATTCTAAAGTAAACATAACATACATTTATGTTAAATTATCAGCTCATTACCCAGTAACCTGTATCCAAGAGATGAGTGGCACTATTACTGATAATTTTGACAAAATCTTTTCCATAAAAAAATTCTTCAGTTCCAAATTGAATTTCTTATTTTAACTTGGCACATATATTACACTAGGACATCACAGAATTTTTATTATGTTAAGCAAGTGAACATGTGGACACCACTGATTACTTTCTGGTTTTTGTGGATTAGAAAGGTAAGGCATTCACAATTGTTCACCACTATGGTGGAATATATTACCAAGACCTTCTCATGTTGTTTAACTTATTTACTCTCTAGGTAGTCAACATCAGCCTTCTTTAACTTGGGATTCTCTAATTATATTTTCAAAGGTTTTTGACTAGTACTGTTTTCCCATTATTTTTTATTTTTTTTAAACTTAATGACTTCACATGTTTACCCTGGAGTTTTAAATTTACAATTTCTATTTTATTTTATTTTTTATAAAGTCAATCTCTATTTAAAGATAATTCAATCATTTTCACCGTTAAACTGAATAAATTAAGCCAACCTAGGTAATACGTTATTTGCAGATGACATTGTTTTGATCGAGGAGACTCACGGCAAAGTCAACGATAGATTGAAGGCGTGGGGACGGACTTTGGAGTCTAAAAGGTTTAGGCTGAGAAGGACCAAGAAAGAGTATTTGGAATGTAAATTTAGTGATTAGATGCTTCAGACAGACGTAAAAGTGAGACTTGATACTCAAGTTATCTCGAAGAGTGAAAGATTTAATTATTTGAGGTCTAAGATCCAAGGATATAGGTTAATCCATAATGATGTCACACACTGTATTGGTACGGCTAGGATGAAGCGGAGGCTTGCATCTGGTGTCATGGGTGACAAGAAAATACCACCAAAGCATAAAGGTAAGTTTTATAGAGTGGTGGTTAAACCGGCTTTGTTGTATGGGACAGAGTGCTAGCCAATCAAGAACTCCTATATTCAGAAGATGCGAGTGGCGAAATGAGGATGTTGAGATGGATGTGTCGGCATACTAAGAGCGACAAAATTAGGAATGAGTATATCCGGGACAAAGTGGGAGTGGCCTCCGTGGTGGACAAGATGAGGGAAGGGAGATTGAGATGGTTTGGACATGTGAAGAGATGTAGGATGCCCCGGTAAGGAGGTGCGAGAAGTTGAAGATAGTAGGGTCAATGAGAGGCCGAGGTAGGTTGAAGAATTATTAGGGAGAGGTGATAAGGTAGGATATGGTGCATCTTCAACATACCGAGGACATGACATAGATAGGAGGCTATGGAGGTTGCGTACTAGGGTAGAAGGTTAGTAGGTAGTGGAGGGTTGCTTTTGCTTTATAAGGGTTTAGGCTTGTTGGTGTTTGTCATTGTACTAGTCATATTATTGCAGTACTTGATTTTGATATCTATCATCATCTATTGTTTACTGTGTTTGATTATCACACTATTTTTTTTTGAGAATGAAAAAAAAAAAAAAAAAAAAAAAAAAAAAAAAAATTCTCAAAAAAAAATAGTGTGATAATCAAACACAGTAAACAATAGATGATGATAGATATCAAAATCAAGTACTGCAATAATATGACTAGTACAATGACAAACACCAATAGTGTTTGATTATCACACTATTTTGTTGTTCTTGTTCTTTTCTTGTAAGTTTTGCACTGCTTCCTTTGTCAGTTGCTATGTTTTCTTTGGGTTTGCTGCTCTTGAGCTGAGGGTCTTGCGGAAACACCTCTCTACCTCCACAAGGTAGTGGTAAGGTATGCGCATATTTTATCCTCCCTAGACTCCACCAGTGGAATTTCACTAGGTGTGTTGTTGTTGTTGTTGCTTAGCCGAGTTCTTGTATTTACTAACTGAAACATGTTCAAACATATTAATCAGCTGAGAAGTTTAGAACTCCAAAAAACTGCTGCCAAGTACTTTAAATCTTACTAGTTAGTTTTTTCACAATAACCAAGTGTATACTCCTTATTTCGAATTGAGGGTTTCGTTTCGAGTTGGATCCTTCAAAGTAATGTCAACTCTCTTCAAGTGGAACATTCACCTTATACATACAGAAAATAAAATTTGACCCACATTTTATTTTTTTTTGAAAATGGTAACGAAAATTTGACCCACATTTTACATTTCCCAAAATCAAAAGAAATCAAAATATAGCTAAGTACAAAATGGATCCACTAGCTTAAGCTAACATATATTTAAGTTCAAATACAATAAGCTGCACTAAAAATAGTGCTTCGCCTAAAAGACTTCTCTAAAGAAGGTTTAAAGGAACAAAAGACATCTCTTTGCGAATAAAACAAATTTCTTTTCCCAAAGAATTTATTTTTTTCTGAATATACAAACCACCCTTTTGTTTTGAGCAGGCCTGAACCAAACCAAACTTATTCCAGTTAGCCGACAATTTCTTTAATTTTTTTTTATAATTTTTTTAGTTTTTCTTTGAATTTACATGTTCTCTTCTCTGTTATTATGCTTCAAATCCTAACCATGGCTCCTTTCATGCACATTATTCGTGATACTACTGAAAAGCTTATATGATGAAACTGAAATTAATAATATGTGGAGAGTCTGATCCAGAAACATCTAATCAGACATGTAGTGCAAACACATTCCAATAAAAGCCTTCTCTAAAATTTATTTTAAAATCTTCCCTAAAACACCGTCCCAAGTGCAACCACCATCCGAATTTTCATCTTAAAAAAGTTTGGAGTCCCTAAAAGACACACTGATCAGAGAAAAATAAAAACAACCTTGCAACAACACCCAAACATTTGAAGCAAAGAGAATAACCTTACACATCCAATCAATCAACTATGCCTCATTCCCAAATTATTTCACAATGAAATTAATTTGATTAACCAACTTATTACATGAAGAAAAAAGAAAGGGACCCATCTGAAGATTGTCAACTCATCCATAAAAATTTCTACCTTTTTATATTCATTTTTCCTTCATGGAAGAATAACACTGAATTAACTATATTATTACTGTATAGATGTGCATCCTCATCAGTTCATTGACACTGTTGCCTTTAATTGAGTTCACTGTTTTGCCAACATCCAGCTGCTAATAGGGAAGGCAATGCTATCATTATTTTTGTTTCAGCAAAAAAAAATAGGTTATTTGTGGTAGGCTACAACAAAAACCTAATAGATCAAAAATTATATATTTTGTCACACATAATTTATCATTATATTCCATGTCCACATAATGCCACAGCATATTGTTAGGTTTCTGAAATATTTAGGCGTATGGCTCTGATTATATACTACAACTATAACTCTACTACTACTACTATGCCTCAATCATAAACCAGTTAAAACAAATTTCACATAAGACACGTCATTTCACACATTTTGGCATTTAGTAGGAGTCTGAGTGACCACCAACCACAATTCCCTTGTCTAACCCTTCCAAGCAGCAATGTTTTTCTGAAACTTCCCTTCCAAGGCAGCAATTTCGACTAGAATATAAACAAATATAACATTTAAAGAAGCCGGTCAACCATAAATGCAACTGTGTTTCCTGATTCTTGGCATATTTTTCATTACCAAGACACTCAGTAAGCAATGGCTCTTTATTAAGATATAATAGAAACAAACAAACAAAAACCAAAGTAAATTTGCCCTTCCTCTCTTATAATATACTATCACTACTACTAGTACTATGCCTCAATCATAAGCCATTTAAACCAGACTTATCATAGAACACGTCATATTTCACACATCTTGGCATTTAGTAGGAGACTGAGTGATCACCAACCACAATTCACTAGCCTAACCCCTATGAGGCAGCAATTTTGACTAGAATATAACAAATATTATATTTAAAGAAGTTAGTCAAGCAGTATTGCAATTGTGTTTCCTGATTATTGGCATCTTTTCATTACCACAATACTCAAGTAAGCAATGGTTCTAAAGTAGGAAACAAACAAAAACTGAAGTGAATTCGGCCTTATCCTACCTAAGATAATACATATGGAGGCAAAGTTCTGCATTTTCAAAAGAGCAACTTAATTAGAAATACTTTACTTCTAAAACCAGCAACATCCCAAAGAAGCCTTCTCTGCCCAGTGGCCTTCTACTTCCAAAGGAAAACCTTCCTGATTCAGTAATCAGTATTACTAGGATATCAATGCAGTATGATTCTTCACCTTTTGTTATATCATTGCTATCACGCAATAACAAAGTCACTTTCTATCACTTCAAAAGAGTTTCATGTAACTAACTGATACGGAAACAGAACCATTACAGTAATCCCACAAAAGATATCACATTCAATTAGCAGAATGCTTCTAAATTAGCCCCAAAATCCCATCATCAATGCCCAAATTTTTTTAATAACCTATAAATTCCCAATGGCCAGTCGCGAACAGTTCAATACTCCCTTCCACTTAAATAGTAGGTTTTTGTTTGCTAAGGATTCGAACCCGTAACATCCTTCTAAGCCACACCATCACTATACTACCAGTAAATAGATCAAATCCAATAACAACAAGCGGTTACAAAAATTCTCTTCATATACATTTCTTCAACATTTTCAAAAGCAAGAACAGAAATTCAGAATACCTTGTCTTTATCATCGACGACGCCAGAATCATCATCGACGGCAACACGACCACCAGCGTTAGCATCGCCGCCGACTGCAAAGAACCAGTAAGAAATGATGACGAATGCCGTGGCGGCAACGGTGACTTTCACCTCCCACCACGACGGCACCAGTACTTCCAACGCCGTCTCCACAATCATCTGTAAGAAAAATACCACAAAAATGTACAAATATATAGTTGAAAATGCTGGATCAAACCAAAATATTCAAGATTTTTAAGCACACAAACATTCCTGCAGTATATATATTTATGTATATATACACACAGTTAGTGTGTTAGTGTGTGAAAGAGAAGGGTCAATGCCAATTGTCAAAGAAAGGATGATGATGATGAAGAAGAAGAAAAAATGAAGAATTCTAAATTGGCCATTGTTGAAAGTTTAATAGTTGCGTGGAAAGATAATTAAATACTCCCTCCGTCCCTATTTACTTGTCCATATTTCCTTTTTTAGTTGTCCCTATTTAGTTATCCATTTTGACAAATCAAGAAAGGACAACAAATTTTTTCCTATTATACCCTTATTTACACTTCTTGAAAATTGTAAAAGTGTATGTTGTTTCCCTCCAATTTATTTCACTTGAATTCAAATAAGTGGTTGTAATTTTTAAGTGAAAAGTTGTCATAAGGGTAAAATTGTAACTTTACTGTGCTAATCATTGTTGCCTTAATCTGTGTGCCATTTCTAAAGTGGACAACTAAAAAGGGACGGAGGGAGTAATAAGTCATTTGAAATGTACTACTCCCTCTCTTCTTATTTAGTTGTCACCATTTTAGATTTCGCATCTCTTAAGAAACTAGGTTAGTTTACCATTGTACACTTATTTAGTGTTCACTTAAAGTCAAGTTTTCAATCAATAAACATGAATTAGTTTATTTTGATTAATTAATTTGACCAATGAACATGAATTATTATTTTGATAGTAATATCTAGATCAATCTTAATCGAATGGATAGGGTCAATCTTTTGAGGATAGTGCAATGACAGTTTTACCCTTTTCTGTAATGTTTGATTGGGTTTTCGAATTAGGTGTGTGTTCGGTTCGATTTTATATATTATTGGTTCAGTATATCGGTTTTTGATTTTAAATACGCTAAATCATTAATCAAATCAATAAGATATTCTTTATCGGTTTTGATTCTTAACTCGATTATCGATTTAATAGTAAGAAAATGTTTATAAAATGAATATATGACTTCTCCAATAATTTAACGCGACAAAACAATAATGTAACTTTACAACTGCTTATAAAATAAAAACAGTAATAACTAACAAAAAAAGAATTATATAAGTGTAACACAGAGAGAAATTAAGAGGAATATAGTTTTTACTTTAGGTTTTGACGTTTTGTATAATATGAAGTTGTAAACTCAAAATTACTATGAAGTGTGAATCGAAGGTTAAAGTGATAAAGACAGTAAGTAGTAAGGTATTGAGACTAATATTTAATATTTATGTACGGGTAAAATAGTAAATTACTATAGTCTTAATGAGTTATCGGTTAGCTCAATATTAAAAAATCAAAACCCATAACCCGATAATTTTTTTTGTAAAACCATTAATTCAATAGCAATAGATCAGTAATACTTTTTTCGATTCGATTTAATTTTTACACACCCCTATTTTGAATTTGAATAACAGATGAGGATTAGGGGTATTTTGGAGATTAGAGGATTTATAGAAAAGTTGAAACTCAAAGTAGAAAAGTTTTATCCTTTTTCTTTTTTCCTTAAAAAGCCGTCCACGTGAGTTTTGGTGGAATTTATATCTTTTGGCTCTTGTGGAAATAATAAAAAAAAGCAGTCTTTATATTTTTTAGCAAGTCAAGTTAGACTATTGAATAAAGACATTTTTATTTTGTAATTACACGACCTTCTAGTTTGTGATAAAGTTTATTTCAACCAAAAGAAAAATGACTTAATGGGGCTTAGTATAATTGTTACATAATTAGATTTGGTGTAATTATATTATCTGACATATTTAGTTGGTCATATAATTACTTGGTCATCAGATAATTAGGTATAATTGGTAGGAGATAATTACACTCTCTAATTTTCAGGAAGAGGTTATGAATTACTGATAATTACATGGAGTAATTACAAGTTGATTACTTTTTATTTATTTTTTTAATTTCTTTTAATTTCTATTATTTTAAATTATTTTTTTTTATTATTCGAAAAATATATTATTATTTTTATATTATTTATATTTCATTTTCTTCGTATTCTCAACCTTTACTTTCATGTAGGGGTGTGCAAAAACCGATTTAACCAATAAACCGAACTGTTATTGGTTTATTGATATTGGGTTATTGGGCTAACGGTTTTGCAAAAAAAATTATTGGGTTATTGGTTTGATTTCCGATTTTATGATTTTTGTTAATGGTTAAACCGATAACCCAATAAGACTATACTAAATTTACTAATATTGTTATTAGTGGTTAAACGATTGTTACTTTCACACTTTTTGTTAATGGTTAAACGATTGTTACTTCCACACTTTTTTCCTTTGAATGTGTCTAGTGTCTAAACTTACAAGAAAAATGATTGTTACTTTTATGATTATTACTTTCATGCCAAATGCTGGAAAAATCATATGGTTTATATGAAAATTTTCTTATCGTGTATATAATATATATGAGTATTTTCTTATTGGTTAAACCGAAAACCGAACCGTTAAGTACCATAAACCGATTAATCAAAAATCGATAAGAAAGATGTTATTGGTTTGGTTATCGATTTGACGTATTTACAAACTGAAAACCGATAAACCGAACCAATAACACATAAAACCGAACCGAACCGACCGATGCGCACCCCTGCTTTCATGTGATTTTTCATATTATCAATTTTATTTATTTATTCTATGTTTATTTTTTCATTAGCATAACTTTTTTAGTGTTCTACTTTTTAAATTGAAGGAAAATTCATTGTTAAATAAGGTTATAGATTTACGTTTTTCATTTCTTTTAAATCACATTTATGTATGTTATGTTGAAATTTGACATAAGAGTGTATTACGTTAAATTTCTTTTCGAATTTAGAACTTATGTTGCATTTTCAATTTCATTTTTTTTAGTAGTATTGACTTGATATTTTAAATTGCAAGTCATTAATTTTTTTTAGTTAGACTTGATAGATTATCTTTTTGTCAAATATTTTCATAATTTATGACATTATACTTATAATATTAATTTTTTTTGCAAACATGTATTTTATAATGTTCATAGAAATCTTTAACTTTTAGTTTTTATTATTAATCTAATTAATTTATATATAATTTAAAAAAAAACATAAATCAATTATTTTATAATATTAGTTAAGAACATATGTTTGTTGATTAATATATTTTCAAAAGATAATATATATCTTAAATATTTAATTCAATATCATTTATAAAGTCTCTTATTTTTCTAATAATTTCTTTTATTATTTTAGATAATTAACTTATATTCTTAAAATTCAATATAATCTTATGATTGCAATTGTGCAACCAAACAATACATTTGTAATTACAATGTAATTATAATGTGACAAATAAACAGGTCAACGTAATTACTGGGTTGGATAATTACTAGACTAATACTACCCTAGTAATTACACAAATTCCAATTATCTGATAGCTTTTTAAACAAACCCGTAGTAGTGTTTTTGAATGTTTTAAAATTTGTTTCACTATAGTTGTTTGTATTTTTATATGTAATTTTATTATTTTGTAGGATTTTAAAATTTGTTTCACTATCGGTGGAGCTTCCCTTATTTGCTGAGCATTTGACTTTCTTGTACCATTATAAATAGACGTGCATGCTTCAATTAATTGAAGGAGACGAGAATAGTAGTAGCCGATAATTTTAGGGTAGTAGTAGTATTCATCTCGTCCAAGTTTATAATTTTCATAGTTCTCGACTAAAGTCTCCAACATTACTCCAACTTTCAACATTCATAGTAGGTTAATGTTTTCTTTTAATCTTTATTCTTGTTATTTCTTTATAGTATTGTAACACCCCAAAAATTTCTAAGCTAAGACCCTAATCATTCTATAACACCTCACAACTCTACTTTTAAAATTTGAATCGTTCGTGTAACACCTCGAACTTTGAGAAGGCTAAAGAGGGCTAACATGCAAGTCCACGAACCCAAAATGGACCATGGACCCTTCATGGAACCCTAAACGGTCTATTTAGGGGTCCATGGCCTGTTTAGGGGGAGGTAGCCAACCGTCCACGACTGCCAAGTGGTGAGTCATCTGGACGGAACCCTAGACGATCTGTGGTGGCTTGTACGGTCCGTTTAGGGTCCGTACAAGTCATCCATCAGCTTTAAGTTTTGGTTCAACTTTACACGATCGCATCTCTCAGCACATAATGAATTAGGTAGCCCATTACCTATCAAATTAAAGGTATTTGAGCCCTCTTTCAAACGTCATCAAGTTTTCCTCATTCGAGTTTGAAGTAAAAAGTTATGCCTATTTTAGTGAATCCCTGTCAGACGATCGAAGTTTCACGGACGGCTATACTGTCAGTGAAGTTTTTCATGGACCGTGGAGCCTTAAACCGTCTGTGAAACCTCCCATTTAAGGCACCTCATCATTTTTTTAAGTTGGGGTCATTTTGGTCATTCCCATATGCATTTGTCACTTAAACTACGTCATTTTAACCCCTATTCTAAGCTTAAACCACAACGTTTTACACCTAATTAAGAGCTTAGAAAGTGTTAATTAGTTCTTTTACGTTCATTAACGCTTCAAGTCATTAGAGCAAGGTTCCAAGAGGAGAAAAGCTAGGGTTCAAGCGTTCTTTGAGTTTCGTCGATTTCGCCAAAGAACTTCGTTCTTCCAGGTATGTAAGGCTATCATAATACTAGACTAGTTCGTCCCCACGCCCTGCATCTACTTTCAAATCAATAAAAGAGTAAGCTAGGGTTCTATCCTTATATTTGAGTATTCTTGAGATAATTTGATATTGAGTTTTGAGTTCTTGAGTTACTCATTATTGAATTCTATTTCCTGATTATTGAGTTGTTATTTTTAGCATGAGCCTTATTTCTGAGTATTCATTGAGTTTTTATTGAGAATCTTTTAAACAAAATTAAACATAATTGTTCAAATTGAGTTTTGAGAAAGTAAAGAAGAGTTTGAGAAAAAGCTTAACCAAGATAAGCAAGGGTATAAGGGAACTATGTATTTCCCAAATGTTTTATTAAATGAACAAAGAGAATCTTACTTTTTTTAAGAAAAGTTATAAAAAAATTTCAGAAAGATTGAGTACAGAGCAGTTACCTCTTAAAGAGGCCCATTGTGAGTAATTATCTCAACCCAGAATGGATTTTTTACATTGAGAAAAGAGAAACCTT